TCCACACCTCAAAGATGGATGAAGCCAAAAATTTTTTTGGAAGGGATAAGGCCCCCGCGTACTTCGTTCATGGCGCTTCCCACGACATGAATAGTCAAGATATTCAAGAAACGTGTAGGCAAATTAATTGGAGTGTCTCTGTGGGTTCGAATGATTTCCGAGTGAGAAACGGCAATCCCGTGTGGCTCGTTCGAGCCTGCAGCCCGCCGCCCATCTCAGGTTTCCCGCTTGACTTCGGCTACGAAAGGCTCCGCATTCAAATTTACGCGGCCGCGCGAGCTGCTGTCCCTATTGCCTCCCCAAAGATAGAGACAGCGCGCCCGCCTACCTATTCCTCCTGGCAAGCCCAATCCAGAAAGGCCCCTAATGATAGAACTCACAAACCCACCTTTAAGGAAATCGTTCAGCCGGGCGGCCCTCCTGTCAAAAAACCAAAAATTATCATCCCAGGTGCCGATGCTGGACCAATTAATCCCAATGGCATTGCTCCCCAGGTGCTCAATACTTTGAGTGGGCCATGTGCTTCACACGCTGCTGCCCAACCTCAGTCCCATCTTAATGCCTCAGAAAATCAAAGTAACCAAAAAGAGTCACAATTGGAGCACCAATTGCTCATGATGCAGCAACAGAACCAGGCACAATCCTTGCAAATCCAGGCATTAATGGAACAAATTGCCAACCTGACGGCTCTGCTACAGAGCTTGGCAGCAATGCAGACCTCAGTGCCGCACGAAGACGACGACTCCCTAATGGAGGGAGGAAATCTCCAGCAGACAAGCTCGTGAAGCGAGCCTGCGCCGCAGATGAGCAACAATGGCACATCTGTCGAGCGCAGACATAACCTCGAAGAGATTCTGCTGCTCTTCATCCCTTTGTATCTGTGTTGGACACAGATACAACAGGATGAATTAGAGCGCAAATGCACCTCACCCTCTGATACCCTATGCGTCCCGCGCTTGCTAAATCCTTCCTCTGTCCTGGATAAGCCTTCCCACTGCGCAATATACCTGGGAGGATCAGAACATGCCACCTCCTGGTCAGAAACGATTCCACCCAACACGATCTCAGGAATCTGCATTGCAGCTCGGAATGTGCATGCCCTACACCAATCATTAACCCAAGCCGTGGCACTTGATCTTGACCTCCTTGCTCTCCAAGAGCTGAAAGTTAACAAAGCCACAACACTGGGTCTTCATAATCAAAATTTGCTGCCCTTCATTCCTTTGTATTTGTATTGGACACAAATACAACAGGATGAATTAGAGCGCAAATACATCTCACCCTCAGACACCCTAAGCGTCCAACACTTAATAGGCCCATCCTCTATTCTTGATAACCCTGGCCACCACCAAGTATGCCTTGGAGGATCGGAATATGCCACTTCTTGGTCAAAAGCGATTCTTCCAAACACTATATCAAGAATCAGCATCGCAACTTGGAATGCAGATGCCCTCCGCACGTCACTAACCCAAGCCGTCGCACTTGATTTTGACATCCTTGCCCTTCAAGAGCTAAGAGTTGACGAAGCTACTGCTCTAGGTCTTTATAATCAGGCTAAGCAACAAGGTTTTCGGCTTGTTTGGGGATCTTTACCAGCAGTGACTGTTAATGGAAAAAAAGGCCTCCTCAATCCCCAAATCCCAGGGACTGGTTTTCTTGTCAAAGATAATATTGGGGTTAAAAAAAGTTAACATTGAGTCACTATCTCAATGGGAAAAGCAAGGAAGATGCACTGCAATACAAGTGTTCCTGCAACAGAGATGGATCACTTGTATTTCAGTCTATGCTTCAGTCGAAAACCCTACACCATTCCTACAGGACCTCACCAATTTTGCCGTTAGTCACTCCCATGAAGACATCATCATAATGGGTGATTTCAATCAGAACACCAGAGAAAGATCCACGGTCACTGAGTTTAGTAACAACTACTGGTGCCCCCTCACTCTTTGGACCCCATATGATTTTGTTACTTTTAAGCGTAAAAATGCTACTTCATGCATTGATACTATCATTCTATCCCCTGCGATGAGTGAATACTGCCAACCCATTCAGGCCATTGATGCTTTCAAGCATGGACACCAAGTTCTCTACACCTGGTGTCATATGGGATATCATCAATTACCCTCGTGGGAACAGAGAAGTCCCGACAAGGATCCCTATGACTGCATTCAGAACTGGGATGAAATCCTGCAGCAATTCCTTGAACCTAATCAGCTCACAACTGTGCAACAAGATTGGGAGACTTGGTGTATGCATCTCTCGAATCAAGTGAACAGCCAGCGCCCTAATCTTGGTATTAAACCCTGCTTTAGGTTAAGGGACCTTGACTCTACTACCTTTAAACTTAGGCAAGCTATTCAAAATAATGATGAAACCGCTGTTCATCATTATAGAGATCAGCTCAAAAAATATCAAAATAACGCCATTAGGAAGTGGAGGAACAAAATCACCCCTACCTTGCAAAAATCCCATGTTTGGATCAAAAACCTTTTTGCTTGGATTAAGCCCAAAAGTCCCCCTACTCCTATCTGCATTCAATCACATAAATTTGGGTATGAAGGATCCACAACTTGTATTAATGAAACCCTTCTTGAAGTCAAGGATTTTCTTAAGCAGCTTTACAAAACAGATAATGCCCCGCCCTCTGTTGTGCAACAGACTCAATGTGCCTTTCAACCTGTGTATGCTGATGTCGAAGTGCTTGCACACCGACTCAAATGCATCATCGATAAGCAAAACGTTGAAAAAGCACATGGTCTAGATGGCATAACCATCGCTCAATTTAAGCACATTGATGAAAAGGGCATTCTCTGCCTTGCCGCCCTGTTTTTGAAGTGCCTCCACGTCAGTGAAACCCCTAAGTCATGGCTTGATTGTAGAGTCGCCTGCATTCCCAAAAAAAGCTGGTCAGCTTAGAGTCCAGGACCTGCGGCCTTTCTGCATTGCCCCGGTTGCACTTAGACTCTTTTCCAAGACCCTCCTTTCCCTTAATAGTGAGTCACAACATAATGTAAACTGCCTTTCTGTAGGCGGCATCGCAGGCAGGCAAGGTATGCATGCGTGGCTCCTTGCATCTCTGCACGCCGAAGACACGTGGAGGCACGAACGCAGCAAAATCAAAAACCTGCAAGGAATCGCAATCGACACAGAAAATTTTTTTGACGCGATTACCTTCGAACATGCCGAGCTCTGCACTCTATCCAATTCCCTGTCCCTGCAATATCCGCTTGGATGTATGCCGTTCGAAATATCAATAGATATGCCGCCGTCAGTGGGGCCATATCTATTGATGGTTTCAAACCAGGAAGAGGTATACCTCAGGGGGACCCCCTCTCTATGCTGGTTGCTGCAGCAGCACTTGGACAATGGGCAGCCAGAATCCCCACACCTCTCAAAGTCAACCATGTCTTTGTTGATGACAGGCTGCTTCTTCATGATTGCCATCATAAACTCCAAGAGGTTTTTGATTTTACGCAAAATTGGGATAGGGAGCATTGTTTCAACACCATGCCCAAAACCCACACTTTTGGAACCAACCCTGTTCACCAAAATGTCACTTGGCTCGATGGAGTGACAGTCAAAAGAGAGGAAGGTAATCTAATCTATCTTGGAGTTCCACTACCTTTCCTAAGCGTTAATCGTGAAAAAAATTATGCACCCACAATTGATAAACTATGTGCCGCCTTGAACAAGGTCGCTAGGGCTAGGATTCCCTTCCATCAGGCAGCTACAGTTGTTAACGCTAAGGTAGCACCCTCTTTAGCGTATGCTGCCATGATTGTACGGCCCACTTGCAAACAGCTTTCCGTCCTCCGCAACCATATTTATGAAGCTTGTGCAGATCGACACTTCGCGACGCATGACGCACAAGCTCTCTTCCTTCATAGGACTCACCTCCACGACCCGGAAGCTGCCATGATCTATGCTTCTTTGTGTGGCTGGCATAGGGCCCTCCGAATTCCGTTTTTCAAACAATGGCTTAGGCAACACTGGCTTACTCATTCTAGAAGAAAAGCCCAAGGTAAAGGCCCCCTTAATTTGCTTTCCCATGACATTGAATGGATCCAGTGTGATTTTGACCTGGAAAACTTGAGGGTTGTCTCCAGGCAAAACGGCAGCACCATTCAATTTTCTGAGCCCAATAAGGATAAGTTCCAGCATTTTATAAGGGAGCAAATTCGTCTTGTCTTTGCACAGCGGCTTCGTTTGAAGCACAGCAGATGGCACGGAATTGAAGAGGTTGACCTGGCGGCCACTACGGCACTCTTTCGTAGGATGCACCCGCAAGCTTTTGGCTGCGCTGCGCTCATGCGCCTCTTATCTAATGCACACGCAACTCCTCACCGCCTTCACAAGCAGGACATAGTAGCTACACCGGCTTGTAACTTTTGCAGCTGCGAGGATGCAGATGTTACGCACATCGCTTTCCATTGTCCGAGGTTCCAATTTATCCGAGACAATTGGTTGCCGCTCACGCATACCTGGTCGGGATGGCCTTCCTGCGCACAACATTGTTTAGCGGCCACCTTTGCTATGCCTGAACACATCCGTAAGCACTGGCATGTCGTCCAGCTTGATGTTGCGCGGCTCTTTGAGACGTGGATGGCCTTCCGTAGAAATGGCAATCTCTGCCATGACATCACCGCTGAATCTCATGACATTGAGATTCAGCGTGAAGCAGAGGCAGAACGCGCCAGACCCGATCTCTCCCATGATGCCGTCCAAAGATATGCCCCGTTAACACAGCCCTCAGTTAATTTCCCCTCCAAATTGGATTGATTTGGAGTGGAAACCACCAGCACCGTGACTCGGAAACGCGCAAGGCATATAGCTATAGTCTAGACTCCTTCAAGGGGGCTATATAAGGGATTACATAGAGGATTACTATAGTGGATAGTAGGGGGATACTACCAATATTGAGTATGTCCTCCTTATGGTTATGATCTACTATTATCAAAGAAAAGAACTACTCATTCAAACGAAGGAACGAAATATCCAAGGCACCAGCTGAAGATGATGGAGTTGTGCGAGAGATCGTGGAGGATATGCTGCTTCCTTGGAGGGTCCAAGGGACTTCGTAAATATACTGATAACTCCTCCGTAGACTAACTTAATTCGTCATCCCCACTGTTACCCTACGTATGGCTATGGGGCTTGTGTCCAAGTTTTTTCGTTTCTGTACGGCAGGGTTAAAGAGTTTTTTGTCTTGGTGATGTTTGATCAGCGGAGCATCGTTTGTAGCGTTTCGTGCTTTAATATAAGCGTCTGCTCGATTCGCAAATTGTGAAGACACACGCAATTTCAGTCGGGATCACTCCAGATATCCTCCGTGATGAGAGCCTAAATCCTCAACCAAAAATGTACAGATCTCTGCGCGTGCACCATGTGTTTCATTTTTTCCTGCAGTCCTGCACCTTTTGCAGGAGGCTCTTCATTGTGAGCGTGATCCAGTACCAAAGGCTTGTCGGGTCAAAGTTGTGCCAAGCTAGTGGGGATTGGGGGAAGCCAGCCAAAACCCTAATGGGGTCGAGATTCTGGGGACGGCGTTGCGAAGGTTGGTTGCTTATGTTCAGACTTTCCATTCTATTAAGGTGCAGAAAGTTTAGGAACCTACGGATGAAGGCTCTGGGAAATCTTTCGCCCCGCTTGCCTGGGGTCCTGAGCCTGGAATCCGAGCCTTGCTCGTTGACTCGGCCAAGAAAAAACAGCAACATGCTCCGTCGTCCTCCTCCTTGTCCTCATTGTCGTCGTCATCCTCAACATCGTTGTCCTCCTCCTCTTCCTCCTTGTCGTCGGCGTCGGCGTCCTCGTTGTCGTCGTCGGCGGCGGCGTCGGCGTCAGCGTGGCGTCGGCGTCCAGTAGTAGCAGCAATAGTAGTAGCAGCAGTATCAGTCACGGTCTGGATAGCAGTACAGAAATCGGTATGAGAACGAGTTATAGCATTAGTCGCAGTGCTAGATCCTTCCCATCCGCACATCTAATTATTGTTCCCTTGGAATCTCGCACAGAGCGTTCAGTATACAAGCGTGGGGTTGATGAGTTCAGGCTTCTGAACCTCTCAAGCGTGAATAACATTATGGATCTTGTGTTCTGCTTGTCAACCCTTGCGCTATGGCTTTATTAGAAAGATGCATGAGTTCTATATCGGACTCTGCTACCCATTCCCTTGCCAGTCCCCTTTGGTTAACACCAAGCCCAAAACCCCAAAACCCTGAAACCCTGAACCCTAAACCCTAAACCCGAAACCCAAAACCCCAAAACCCTGAACTGTGTACATGCCCTGGGATCTGAACCCTGTAGACAGAACGGCTAGTCGTTCAACACGCTTACGATTCATGCCCCCTTGGTTGAAGGATTGTTGTTTCTGACCCTGATCCCGAATCCATGAACACAGTGGTCAATACAATTCCCCAAAAGTTTATTTCCCAACATAGTTACTGTACAGTCCCTTCTTCTGACCCCCATAATCCCCTGTGTATCCCTGGCGTCCCTAAGATCCCGCCGCTTTTTTTGCTAGGACTTGTTTAGTAGTATCGCCCCCCCCCCCCCCCCGGGAACCAGGCGTCTGGTACGGGCTTGTGTAGGAGTACTTGGAAGGTCGAGGGGATTAGGCAAATCTACGACAATATACATATTGGCCCAACAAGCCATGAAACATTTCCTTGAACTTCGAAGTGCTTCCAAAGTTTCAAGGGCTCTGTGGCCACTGGCAGCTTGTGAATTCGGGGAGTCATACCCTCAAGATTCACCTCCCGAAATTATCGCGGAACCCGCCTTTGCAAGGCTTCATTTGGGGTTTTAACTTGGGGGCAGGTACGTCAGTCCCTAACGTTTTGTCAACCGCTTGGCTTAACCAGTTGCAAGGACTCGGGTTCAGCCCCTCTTCGAATCTTCTTCCTCGATGATTCTGATGATGACGATGAGGACGGAGACTGGATATGTAGAAAGGATGAAGACGGCAGGCGCAGAGCACCCACCTTTCAAGTTAATTTCGGAGCTTTTCAACGAATGTGAGACTATGTAGCAGCATTCTTCTATGTTTCCGGCAGGCAAGAGAAGAGGGTTACAGTGCTGATGGTATGTATATTTTTAAGTGGGCCGTGAATTCTATCCTACCTTGTCTGGGAATCTAGGATTCAGGACCCCAGGATTTCAGGTTCAGGTTCAAAGGCAGGAGTTTCCCAAAGACCTTCCATTTCTGGAGATGCTTTTGAGAATATGAGGTTAGGGTGTGCTGGTGGTCGTTGTTCATTTGGAGACGCACCCATGTTGGCTTGGCGCCCATAGCCCTGCCAAGCGATGTCCCATAATCTCAGCCTATTGAATCCTAGTGGTTGCCGTAAAACGGTACAACTTGTGATAAGATGTGGCAGCTGTTCAAAGGCTCTTGTGACTTTAGGCTTGGATCATTCTTGGGCAACAGCTCTTTCAGGCTGATTGCGGGTTCTAGCTTGGCTTTCCCAATTCCTCATGTGCTTGCCTGAGACTTGAGCGCCTAATCTGAAGATTCTGATGCCAGCCCTGAGTTCTCCATCTTATGTCCTAAAGGACTCCGCCCAGGACATCCAGCAGTCGGAGGCTCGCCCGGCCCTCTCGAAGGGAAGATTCTTGATGGTTACCCGAGCTGCCCTTCACATATGGTTGAAGAACAACACCTACAATTCCGATCTGCCTGTCTCCCATAAGTTTAGAGGTGGTGCATGGCAGGATACCGCTGTTCGGAGAATCCGTCAGAGTTGGCTCCACCCTGAAATAGCACGGTAAGTGCAGGAGTTGGCAACGGGAAATCTCATTTTGCCATATGGCATCTAACCTGACTTATGATGATTCTCATGGAGGGCTTCGTTTGCGATAGTCTTCACTTGGGTGGTTGTCAAAATCATGGTCCCTTTTGGGGTACCCCAAATTTTAGGTGCCATATTTTAATGGGAATCCAACAAGGAACCATAATTTTGACAACCACCCACTTCAGTCTCGAGCAACCTGAGCCCCAAACGCGGCAGAATACGCACGAGAGCCAGTCTGGGAACCCCTAAAGTTCCTTTAAAACGGACAGTTATTCTTACATGGAGGGCACCCTCAACCCTAAGCCCTGAACCCCCCAAATCCTTAAGCCCTAAATGACAGGGAGTTGGGGATGTCACTTTCTTGCCTCAGGTCACCGCACTGCACCCGTTTAGTTGCAAATGGGATCCCGGAAGATGTCAGTATCTGAAGGGTCTTATGGGCAACTTGGTTACCCTGACACCCTAAATCGGGAGATAGCCGGATTAATGTAGAGCTTCAACGTTTACTTACTAGGTCCCCTGGCGCTAGACCCTGAGCATCATCACCATCTTTTCCCATCCCTTGATATCCCCATATGTGCCTGCAACCTATGTAAAGGGACTTGCAAGTCCTGAACCCTAAAACCTTAAACCCTAAACCTTAAATCCTAAACCCTAAAACCCTAAACCCAAATGTCGACCCAAAATGGGAGCCCGACTGCTGGTGCAGGCTTGCGGTAGACTGCCCAGATAGGAAATTCGTGTTGATGGCTGCAGCGTTCCGGCGCGCAACCCTTGAAGTTTAGGGGTTAGGTTTTTGGGCATCAGGGTTTACGGTTTTGGGGGGTTTAGGGTTTAGGTTTTAGATGCTCAGACCTTAAGCGCAAAGCCCTAGAGCAACACAACGAAACCCTAAGACTTTTGTGAAACCTACCAGAAGCCTTTGAGAACTCAATCGCAGGTTGATTGGTACAATATGGAGAAGGCACGCTGGTGGCTCTAGGTAGTAGGCTTGGGGACCGCCGAATCTCTTCCCTATGAGCTGCTCCTTGCGTAGGAGTACATGAAGGGTCTGGGGGACCAAGCAGGTTTTGGAAATACCCAACAAGCCATAGAGTCTGCGCCTGACGCTGCAAGTGTTCCCACAGTTTCAAATTTCTTGACGGGGCTAGATGCTGGTGTTGTCGCTTAGCTAAGCCCTGGCAATTTTTCTGCCCGAAATTATCATCGAACCCCATGTAGCCCCCTTTTGGAAAGGATTGTCGCCTTCGCAGGGCTGTATTGGGTTTCCGTGTTAGCCTGGGGGAAGTTACTTCAATCCCTCATGTGTTGTCAAGAGCTTGGCTGAACGAGTTGCCAGGACCAGGGTTCGGCCCCTTTTCAAGTCTTCTTACTGGATGATTCTGATGACGAAGATGAGGACGGAGACTGGCTGTGTAGCAACACACCACGTGTCAGGGGCTATTTCGTAGCTTTTTGAGGCAGATATGAGAATATGCAGCAGCATCTTTTTTGACTTCGGATTCGGCAAGCAAGAGAAAAGGGTTCCATTGCTAGTTTATGTATATATACATATGTTTTGTTGAAATGGGCCGTACATTCTATCCTACCTCGTCCATGAGCTTCGGATTCAGGACGCCAGGATTTAAGGCCCGGCTTCAAGGCAGAAGTTTACCAAAGACGCTCCATTTCTGGAGGTGCTTATGAGAATATGGGGTTGGGGTGTACTGGCGGTCCTCGTTCGTTTGGAGAAGCACCCATGTTGGTTTGGCGCGTTTTGTGGTTGTAGACCCGTAGCCCTTGGAAGAAATGCCCCATCATCTCAGCCTTCCAGTTGCCGTAAAACGGTACAACTTGTGATAAGATGTGGCAGCTGTTCAAAGGCTCTTGTGAGTTTAGGCTCAGATCATTCTTGGACGAAACAACAACAAGAACAACAACAACAACTTGTGGCCTGATTGCAGGTTCTAGCTTGTCTTTCCCCATGCTTCCTGTGCTTGCCTGAGACTTGCACGCCTAAACCGAAGATTCTCATTCCAGCCTCCCCCGTCACTGAACCCTTGGCCCTGAGCTTTCAATCTTGTTTCCTAACATACCACGTGCAGGAGGTCGAGCAGTCAGAGGCTCGTTTTGTTCTACCAAGGGGTTATATAGGGTATATATAGGGTATATATTGGGGTCATATTGGGATAATGGAAAAGAAAATGGAAACTAGAGGGATTATAGGGTTTATATAGGGGTGGGGATTCTTGATGGTAACCCAAGCTGCCCTTCAATTATCAGTTTAGACGTGGTGCATGCCAGGATACACCTGTTTGGAGAATCCGCCAGAGTTGGTTCAGGGGTTGGCAACAACAAATGGGGGACTATCAAAATTATGGTCCCTTTTTGGGTCCCTATTATAATACGGGGCCTAATACGGGGCCTAATTTAGGGGACCCAAAAAGGGAGTATAATTTTGACAATCCCCCAAATAGAATTCTCCACAATGCGTCTAACCAAATGTCGTAGAATATGCGTCAAAGTTCCACCACGTTGTCCGGCTTTCCAGCCGGGATCGCGACCTCACGAGCTTAAGCATGGAAATACCATACAGCCCACCTGGAACGAACAGCCATCCTTTTCCGGAGCATTGTTTTGGTTTTGGGGTTTCATCTCAGTTGGAGAGGAAGGCGGGAATCTCATTTTCTTGCCTCAAGCACGGAACTCTTTTCGGAAAATGTTTTCCCTGCAGATGCCAGTACTCGGAGGGCCGACTTGGCAAGCTCCTACCCAAATCTCAGACCTTCAGCGCAAAGCCGTAGAGCCAAACAAAACGAAGCTTAGCATCCGTTGTAAATTGTAAAAACTACCAAACGCCTTGGAGAACGCAATGACAGGCCTGCGACTGGTACTATATGGAGGTTCCATCACCTTCGTTTGCCGCAAATTTCGTGTTCTGAGGGGAAATCGGTACAAGTTGCTTCAGTGTTTTTAGGGGGGG